ATAAAAACTTACAAAGATTTGGGTGACTGGGTGGTTCAGTCGGTTAAGCATCTAACTCTTGATCTCGACTCAGGTTATGATCTCACTGTTCCAGAGCCCAAGCTCTGTGTTGAGCTATATTGGGCTCTGCACTGAATATGGAGCCTGCTTGGGATTCTCTCTCTCTCTCTCTCTCTCTCTCTCTCTCTCTCTCTCTCTCTCTGCTCCTCCCTGCTCTCTCTTTCTCACTCTTTAAAAAGTAATCAATAAATTAAAAAAAAAAAAAAAACTTACAAAGTTTTTGGATCAGCAAAAGAAATAGTGATGTTCTTCTGCATCTACAGAAATAAAAGAGAGGGAGGCAGACAAAGAAACAGACTCTTAACTATAGGGAATAAATTGATGGTTACCAGGAGAACTGGGGTTGGGGATGGGTTAAATAGGTGATGGGGATGAAGGTGTACTTGTAATGAGCACTGGAAGTGTTGAATCACTGTATGGTATACCTGAAACTAATATTATGCTATATGTTAACTAACTGAAATTTAAATAAAAACCGTAAAACAAGGTAAGAAAAACATTTAAAATTGAAAGACTTTAAGTGTTTTACAAAGGACATTCTAACATCACTGTCCTTGGTTTGAATCCAAATCTGTCAGTTTGTGATATAAAGGAAAATTACTTAACCTGTTTGAGGCTCAGTATTCTCATTTGTAAATTGAGCATTTAGAAAAAGACACACCTTCTAGGACGATGTGGAGATTACTTGAGGAAGAAAATACATAGAAACTTCTTCCAACAGTGACTGTGAATTAGTGTCATTATTTTTCTAGCCTTCAGGGAAATAATGATGTATTTAAAAAATATAAATGTTCTAGATGAGGGGTGCCTGGGTGGCTCAGTGGTTGAGCAGCCGACTTCGGCTCAGGTCACCGCCCAGTCGTGGGTTCCAAGCCCCGATAGAACAAATAACTGACAGCTCAGAGCCTGGGGCCTGTTTTGGATTCTGTGTCTCCCTCTCTCTGACCCTCCCCTGTTCATGCTCTGTCTCTCCCTGTCTCAAAAATAAATAAAACGTTAAAAAAAATTAAAAAAAATGTTCTAGATGAGTAACATTAAACTTTTGTGTATCCCAAAGTACATACTGGTAGTAAATACTTCTGAATTCTTTATAATAGTGTATATCAAAAGTGAAAGTAACTTTCATTTGATAATAAGATAAACTTACAGATTTGAATATTATTATAATGATATCTTTAGCTTCTTTCTCTAATAAATGAGATTATTTTTGTTATACTGAATGAACCCAAATGACATCAAATATCATTTTATGTATTTGTGTGTGTGTATGAGAATGTGTGTGTGTGTGTGTGTGTGTGTGTGTGTGTGTATGTGACCATTAGCTAAGTCTATTAATTCATTAGGAGTTAGAAAACAGTATAGCCTAGTTCAGCCATTCCTTCTTCATTTATTAACTGAACTACTTCAATAAGAGCAATGTTCCTTCTTTAACTGTTTTTTTATTCATAAGTAGTTTATATAGCAAAAGCAAAATAAGGGTGCCTGGGTGGCTCAATTGGTTGAGTGTCCAATTCTTGGTATCAGCTCAGGTCATGGTCCCAGGATCATGGGATCAAGCCCTGTGTGGGGCTGTGTGCTGAGCATGGAGCCTGCTTAAGATTCTCTCTCCTGCTCTTTCACTCTCCCCCACTCACGTGTGTGTATGCACTCTCTCTCAAATAAAAAATAAAGAAATAAAGAAAAAACAAAATAAAATGTTTTATTGTTTTCATATTAGTTACCAGTTTTTAAAATAATGGTTTCCTAGTATTCCAGAAAAGTTGTCAGTAGGTATATTTTATCATTAAGAATGCATGGATTTGAGCATATTTGAAGTGTTTCAGTCCCTATAGTCATTAACCTTGTGTATGATCAGATTATCCATTTTTGGCCAGTAGAAGCCTATCCAGGTTGGTTCCCAAGTCTTTGTGACACAACTCTAGTAAAATATTGATATCTTCCTTGATTTCTGTATAAGGATTACAAAACATCACTAATGAAGTAATTTCACAC